CAACATGGTTGGACTTTGACATAATCATACTAAGCAAAATAAGCCAAACAGAAAAGGTTGAAAATCACATGATATCACATATGTGGAATATAAACCTAAAAACAACAAATGAACAGAACAAACAGAGACTCATGGACATGGACAATGGACTAGTGGTTACCAGAAGGGAGAGAGGAAGGGGAAGGGGGAAAATAAATAAATAAAATGTTAAAATAAAAATTATGTATATATAGTATGTAAAAAATAATGATAAACAAACTAGCATTTATTTGCAAGTTCACTCACAGCTTGGAAATCCATCCACCTCTTCCTTGCCAGAAAGGCACAGCCGAGAAGACACAACGTTACTGTCCCCCATGAGAAGTCTCAGACTCAGTAAAGGAGCTCATACTAAGCCCTCCCTAATTATTCTTGGTTATCAATTAATAAATCAACTGGTCAAAATTAAGAGATACTTACATCCTAAGGAATGAAGATGTTTCCTTTAAACAATTTGCTTCTTAAAGACAAGATTACTTATTAACAGAGTTTATTCTTGAGCTACGTAAAGTCAATGTTGCTATCATATAGCACCCTACTACTTCAAATATATACACCCAGGAAAGGCAGATGTGAGCTAAAAGAAATATGCCCACTTGTTTGTATTTCTATGAGCAGGAAAATCTTGAATAATTGAGGAGAATCCCAATTCTAAATGCAGGTTTCCAGATGTGGCAGAGGTGAAGTGATAAGATAGAGGGGTGAAAGGAGAAAAGCAAAAAATAGAATTCAAAAAGCAGGGAATTTTCTGAAGCTGGAATTCTAGGCTAGATGGAGGGGCAGCCACTGGACATGCAGGCAGAAGCAGGGAACATAAGGCACCAGCCATAGAGTGAGAATGAGGATCAGAAAACAGAGAGGAAATCAAGGAATAAGAAGTTGAGGACACAGATTTTGCAGACATTTATTTGTGAAGCGCCTACTATGTGCTAGGCATTGTTCTAAGTGCTGAAGTTTCCACAGAACACAAGAGAGGCAAAAAAAATTCCTGTGTTCATGAGTCTTATGTTTTCAACCCAGATCCAAATTCAAGCTCTGCCACTTATTAATAATGTGTCCTCAGAAAGATCATCTCCTTTCTTCATCTCTAAAATGATATAATGATGGAGAGACATACTGTGTTCACGCACTGGAAGGGTCAGTGTAGTAAAAACATTAATTCTCCCTAAGTTGCTTCCTACATTTAAAGCAATTTCTATCAAAATGCAAGGGTTTTTAAAAAGCAAACAAACAAACAAACAAACAACAGGTATATCCTAAACTTTATATAGAAAGAGAAAGGCCCTAGAATAGCCAAAATAATTTTGTAAAAGAATAAAATGGCAGGAATCATTCTCCCCAATGTTAAGACTTACCATATAGCTACAGGAATCAAAACCCATGACAGAGGATTAGACCACAGATCAATGGAACAGAATAGGTGACCTAGAAATTGATCCGCACAAATATGCTCAACTGATTTTTGACAAAAATACAAACAATTCAATGAAAGAAGAATAGAGCTTTCAACAGTTGGTGCTAGAGCAATTGGTCATCCACAGGCAAAAGAAAAATGAACCTCTATCTAACTTTCATACCTTATATAGAAATTAACTCAAAATGGATCAGAGATTGAAATATAGAACATGAAATTATAACATTTTTAATTATATATAGAACAAATTTTTCATAAGAGGAAAATTTGAAAAATTATACTTCATAAAAATTAAAAACAATTCCTCTTCTGAAGACCCCAATAAGAGGAAAAAATACAATTTACAGACTGAGGGAAAATATTTGCAAATCACATATCCTATCAAAGGCATGAATCTTTAATAGTTACAGAACTCTCAAACTTCAAAAAAAAATTTAATTCGGTTATAAAATGGGCAAAATTCATGAACAGACATGAACAGACATTTCACCAAGGAAGATAAACAGGTGGCAAATAAGCACATGAAAAGCTGTTCGACATCACTAGCTACTAGGAAATACAAATTAAAATCACACTGAGGTATCACCACACACCTATTAGAATGGCGAAAATAGTGACAATTCAAAGACTAGGAGAAAGGATGGAAAAAAAACTGGATTTTTTACACATTACTTATGGGACTGTAAAACGGTACATCCACTCTGGACAACAGTTATAGTTTCTTAAAAAGAGAACATGGGCTTATCATATGACCCAGCAACTTTACTTTTGGACATTTATTCCAAAGGAAAAAAAATCATGTTTTGTACAGTAACCTAAACACAAATATTTATACAAGCTTCATTTGTAATAGCTAAAACTATAAACTATGCAAATGTCTCTCAAGGGTGAATGGTAAACAAACTATGGTATGTTCATGTCATGGACTACTGCATTAAATGGTATAATAATTGCTATGGTTGTTATGAGAATTAAATATACAATTCATTAAAGTATCTGGCACATAATAGAAGCACCATAGACAGCAGCTCCAACTTTCTGTTTCAACCAGATTTCTGCATACACACGTGTCCTTGACTTGCCTTAGCTCGGAGCAAATAGAGTACTCCCAAGTGAGAGGCAATGGGAAGGGGCATTCATTTGCAAGGCCAAGAAGTTCAAATGATTCGAGCTTCAGGCTAAATGGTAGGAGAAATGGCATGTAGGAAGGGAGAGGGCACACATTTCCTCAGGTGACTGGAAGAGATGCTAATGCATTGACTAGAACACTTAGCAGATGTTCATGTACACAAAAATTGTAATGTTGCCATTTAACCTGAGTCCTGCTCAGAAATACTGTAAAAACGCCTTCTTTCATCCACTCTTCTTAACTCTTGCCCTTCTTTCTCATCTTCAATTGAAAAAAAAAAATGCTTAAAACTCTGCAATGCCTTTCTTGATTCCTTTCCATGGTCTGTGAACCCAGCACAGACAAGCTCTGCCTACCTTTCCTAATCCAACACCCTTCCAGCTCCTAGACTCCAGTCACACTGTCTCCTCTCAGCTCCTCCAACTGACCTGAGACTCCTTCTGATCTGGCATACAGAGCATGACTGCTGATCTGAGCCTTTTCATCTACTGCTCCCTGATCCTGGAACACTCCATACAACCTTAACCTCCGCCTGACCCCACACCCTTTTACAACACAGGCTTCTTCTCGTCCTGAGTCTTAGCTTAAATATTAATCTACTTACAGAAGACTCTAAGACCACCTATCTAGGTAGTTTTCCTCTCAGACCTACTCTGTAGTTTTCTATTTTTTTCTGTCCCTGTGCCTTCTTTGCCTCATACATCATAAGTTGCAAATATGCATATTACATATATGGAGAAATAAATAATTATAAAATATATGTAAAACAAATATGTATGTATACACACATATCTTCTTGATTATTGTTTATTTCTCCACTAGATTATAAGATATATAAGGGTAGAGGACACATCTGGTTCTGTCACCTCTATGTGCTGAGCTGCTTAGGAGAATACCAGGAACTTAGTGACTGCTCAATAGATAAGTCACATTATTCTGACTCATCAGCATATTTGATTGACAATTATTGCATGTAACATGGGCTGAAAGCTGTGGGATTTTGTTTTTCTTTTTTCTTTTCTTATTCATTCATTCAACAGCATGTACTAGAATCTACTCTGTAGCTGGCCTCTATGCTGATCACTGAGCATATAATGGTAAAAAAAGGAGTGATCCTTGGCCTCCTGGAGCTTGCATTCTAGTTGGAGAGAAAGCTGGTTATACATAAAATAATTGTAATATCTGAGTAGTTCTACAATAGAGGCTGTAGTAGGGACTAAGAGAACAGAGAACATAGGCATTTTCTTCACTGCACCTTGTGAGTTAGTTCTCTGTGTTCACTGGCGCTACCCACTGGAAAGGAATGAGTTAGCACCGCCCTTCAGGGAGTTTAAACCGCTGAAACCAGCTAGGAGATCACTGTGTTTGAGGCAGTAAGTCAAAGAGGTCGCTTATCTATCACGACATCGAAGGTCTTGGATGTCATTCTCCTTTATCACACAGTCATGAGGTGATGCTCTGCCTTACATAGAATATTAACTTCATAATGGCAGGATTTGGGCTTATTCAATGAGGTATCCTTAATGCCAGAGACTGAACCTAGCACATAGTAGGTGCTCCATAAATATTTTACAGGTCAGAAAACCCAAGCTTAAAGAGGTGAGGTTTTTTCCAAGGTCACATGGCAAATAGGTGTATTTCATCCTAATTCTACTAATTCTAATTGCTCCTGAAAGATTTTTTGTTCTCCATTAAATAAAGGTCCAGAGTCAGACACCCCACGTCCCACTCCCAGTAGGGAGCAAATAGCCCAATGACAGAGCCACATCGACAGACACCTTCCAGCCCTGCTCTGCACAGTTCCCTTAAAGACTTTTATTATTTCTAACCTCAGATATGTCATTGTGCATTTCTTCTCTCACAGCTCTAAGGAAGGGCTCAGATCTGGAAAAAGCCATCACCACTACTGCTCTGATTTTCAGAAATTCTTCTGACCCTGATGGTAAACTTGAAAAAGCTACTGTCAAAAATCTGCTGCAAACTCAATTTAAGAATTTCACAGAGGTAAGAGAATTAACAGTATTTATTTATTGAACACTACCATATATGAGGAGATGAGCTGAGCACAGGATTTAATGCAATAAACAAGCTAACAATCTATCCGAGTAGAGAGATATGCTGAAAAAAATAATTAGAAATATTCAAAAAATGGTGAAATAGTAGAGCATGCAGTGAAAGAGTAAAACAGAAGGACCATTTGGGTCAGGGGGTCAAAGAAGGGCTCCTGGAAAATTAAAGTATATCTGAAATCTAAAGAATGATTTTAGCACACTAGAGTTACATAAGGTGTCATCCACTGGGGGAGTTAGGTCACAGGTAGAACTTCCTGTGAATCTATGATTATTTCAAAAGAGCGTGTGTGAAATTGGCTTTTTTTTTAGATCCAACACATAAGTGGTTTTTTTGTTTTTTGTTTGTTTGTTTTTTTGTTTTTAAGATCTCTTTTATAGAAGCAGAGAATAGAATGGTAGTTGCCAGAGTTTGGGAAGAGGCAGTAGTGGAGTGATAAGAGCAAAGGGTATAAATTTTCAGTCATAAGAAGGATAAGTTCTGAGGATCTAATGTATATCATGTTGACTATAGTGAATAATATGGTATTATATACCTGAAAGTTGCTGAGAGTAGATGTCAAGCTTTCTAATCACACAGAAAAAAAAAGAGTTAACTATGTGAGATGATGGATATGTTATTATCTTAATTTTGATAATCATTCCATGATGTATATGTACAACAAATCATCACATTGTACACTTCAAATATATACAATTACAATTATTCTTCAATAAGTTAAAAAAGAGTGTATGTGTATGTGCATGTGTATGTGTGTGAGAGAGAGAGAGACAGAGACAGAAAGAGAGGTAGATACTACAATGCAATAATTCAGAAAAACAATTGAAAAGAAATGTTGATAATAATTAGCTACCTTTGGGTAATGGAGTAAAGGGTTATTTTTACATTCTCCTTTTTAAAATATTTTTAAATGTCCAATATTAAACACGTATTATTTTTTAAATAAAAAAATTTAAGAAAAGCTATTTTTTTCAGCTAGAAGTATCAGGCAAAAATTGACAAAAAATAAAAGTTCTGGGGAGTCTTTAAAGAGAGGATGGGTGAATAAATCCTATATTTGCCTGCATCAGAGGCCAAAAGAAATGACAAATCCCAGAGGGAAAAAGGACCCTGCACCTGGCTGCCTGGCATATCCTCAGGGAGCATTTAACAAGGCTGAAAATGAGGACCTTGATGTAACCCATCATCCCTCTGAGAACACCAGAGGAAAAAACTTAAAATCAACATCATTAAGAAAGACACCTTTAGCCTCATGTCCCTCAGTGTAGGTTAAACCTGAGAAATGCATCCAGTTTTCAGATTTCTAGCAGCAGACACACCCAGGCTTCTATACAAGCCTGCCTTCTACTTGAGATGAAGGCCATCAAAAAGCAGAAACCATTCTCCAGGTGACAGCTCATCTAGGGGCAGTCTCAGCATCAACAATGATAGCATGACTTCACTGAGCAAGCATCTGAGTAAAGTCAGAATGCTGCCTTGGACCAATCACCCTGCTCCCTGAGATTCCCTAAGACAGATCCTGACATATGAGTCAAAGCAAAAGACTGCAGAGACCTTTTCATTACTGGTGACTTTCTCCTAAATCCCCAGGTGAAGTTCTCTGATAAACTGAACTTGACCCTGTGGCTGAGGCCTCATAAGCCTAAACATAATCTGGGGGATTTTAACACTCTATAACCAGTCAGGTATAATAAAATTGAACACCTAAAAGAACTACTAAAAACATACAAAAGCAAAGACGACTGGTCAGGTCCCAAGAGAGCTGGACCTCAGTCAGTTCCACGCTTTAAGAATACTATTCAGGAAAAAGAAGAAAGACCTACCACCATCTCTGACCTTTAAGCAAGGGTGCTGTTTCACTAGTAAAGCGCTCCTATCTCTGCGTCAGAATCCGACCCCTTTGACATATTCCGCTCTCTTACAGGGGCTGAGAGAGCTCCTTTAGCCCTCACTGGGAGGTGTGACCTCTTGAGGGAAACCAGCCTAAGAGAAACAAGAATGGTCTAAGCCTGTAATAAGAATGTGTCATCATTCTTCATGTGCCTTAGTCCTTGCTGTGATGCTTTTTTACATCTAGCACATGGGTGACCATTTGGGGTTGAGCTAAATGCAAACATAGCTCTGTATAACAGTGATTCAAATGATCTTAACATTTTTAATGCTACTTGGGAAGATATTTCACAAGCTTTGGTAGGAAACTGAAAAGTCTCTCCATTTATGTATTATGCACATGTTTTCCTTCAATCCATTTATGAGGACTGTGAACTTGAATTTGATTTGTGATCAGACTAAATGCTGAACAATCTTCGAACACACATATTTTCTTTTATCATAGTTTATTCCATATTGCTAGATTACCTAATTGTTCAGTATACTGTATAAATCCCATACTAAGAGATTATATTTTGAAAATCTGAAAACATAACACTCTCTGTGTTTGTAGATAAGCTATCCTTTGCTAGGGATAGCTTAGCAGTTAAGACTTTGAACTTGGTAGCGTAGGCTTTGAATCTGTCTCTAAATCGGTAGCTGCCTAGCTCAGGGAAAGTTACTTAAATCTCACTGAGTCTCTGATAGTGCATCTGTAGAGTGGGGATAATGATTGTATTCAATAAGGTCACTGGGAGGATTCAATGAGATAACCCATGGAAGGATTTAACACTGCTCGACTAGTAGCACTGATAGAAACTTGACATTTATTACAAACATGCTGATTATTGCTTATCATCTGTAAAACCAAGGTGGCATAGTGAGTTAGGTTTTTATTTTTTTTTGTTTTTCTTACAGGGACAAGAAACCAAACCAAAATACAAAGACCTCCTTTCCGAACTTGATGAGCATACAGAAAATAAGCTTGATTTTGAGGATTTCATGATCTTACTGTTAAGCATCACTGTAACATCAGATTTTCTCCAAAATATATGGAATGCAAAAAATATGAAATAAACAGCTTTAAATATGCAGTAGGCAAAATAATGGCAAAAGGCAGTGTTAAATGATTAAAGATCTTTTTCCCATTTTATTCTCAGTTAGTTGAATATACTGACTATGCATCAAGGAAAGCCTGGGATGGTTCTGACTGCTAATATTCAGACCCAATATGACTATAAAACTCTACGCATACTCTTCAGGGATGTTTGAATAATATGCTCTCTAGGTGCTTTACAACATAATCGACTTGATACCACTGAATATCACATTGATTTTGCTGAGTCAATAGTGACTTAGAACACTTTCCTTAGAGTCAGTGAGTCCCTCATTCATTTGTTCATTAAGCAATATTTGTTGAGCATCTACCTGATGGAACTGCTGAGGATACAGTAATGAACCAGCAAATCACACATGCCTGCAGAAGTCTAGCAGAACAGATGGACATCGAACAATGTATTAATAAATTGCATACACAATGTAATTATAGTTGTGATAGGGGCTACAGATACTAAAAGAATTGTTATCACCTAACGTGGGCTCAAAGGTCAAAAAAGCTTTCCTGACATTCTTCGAAAGACAAATTATATGATTAAAAACAACAACAACAACAACAACAACAACATATCAGTGGTTGCCAAGGCTGTGGATGGTAAGGACAGTTGTCCACAAATGGGTATGAGAGAATTTTCAAGGGGGGTGGTAATGTTCTGTATCCTGATTGTGATGGTGGTTTCATGACTGGCATGCATTTGTCAAACTCTTAAAACTGTACATTAAAAAAGCTAAATTTTACTGTATGTGCATTACTCTTAAATAAACATGACTTAAACAAAACCAATATCTTTGTAATCTCTGACCATGGTTTAACGAACAACTCCTTGAGAGTATGATCTAAAAATGGTCATGTCCCAAGGACCCACATTCCCTATGGTTAAACCTGTATTCCTGAGTTTAAGTTATATCGCTATATAAATTTACACATGTGCACACACACACAGACACACAGACACATATACACACACACACAAGTCAATGCCTGAATATTTGAGACTGACCTTCACAAAGACTTTTATTTATTGTAAAATTATTGTAACTTCCCAAATCTCCTCCCTCATCTCCCCTTTTCTTCCCAGCCCAACACTATAAGCCTCACACACATAGGTTAAGAAAACTCTTTCGGGAGGGAGACCTTCACTCTAGATCTGGTTAAGTGTTGTCTTAACCTGTAGTGCCCAAATCCACCAAGACCGGACTCTTTGTCCCTCCCCACTTTCCAAGCCTCAAACATTCTAAGTCCAAGAGTTTATATACTATATAAGGGAAAGCCCTAACTTTAGCCTCTCTCACAATTTTAACAGGTGTTCATGTGTTCAACAGGGCTCATACTACATGCCAGGCACTATCTTAGGGGCTCTGCAAATACTGACTCATTGAATCCCCATTGTAATCATAGGTAGGTATTATTATTATCATCTTACAGATGGGGAAACTGAAACACTGAATGTTGATTTTCCTAAAGTCGTACAATTGGCAGGTTTGAGAGTTCTCTGCCTTCTCTGTAGGTGTTGTTAATTTTGTTTTAATATTAGATTTCATTGTGAGCAATAATGTTATAACTCAACAAAAATAGCTGTGCACATTTCATGCACTGTGCAGGAGAGAGTAGTACCAGCTGGGTCTTGGAGAACCATTTGGCATTCCTCAAATAGAACTCTGTGGGTTGGTCTCCCTCAAAGTCAAAAGTAGCAGAATATGGCAACCTTAGTGATCGATACAAAGGTCAAATTCACATCTTTTGTAGAAGGAAAAAAGAGTCCCTGGCCAATGGTGTGATGAGGAATCTTGAAGCCATTCTAACCCTTTGGGATCCCAGTAAGAATTTTTTAAAATTTATCCCAGATGGAAAGTCACAGTCCCCTGAGGATATTAATTATAGAATCTATTTTTACCTGATGCAAAGAATGAAAACAGAGCCAATACATGTATATGTTAAAGCATCAGTGGCAGATAAATTAATGAGCATGATGCTAAAACTCTAGATCACAGAAGCCTCACTCTTTGGTTCTAGCCCCAAGACCATGAACTCTACTCTTAAAACAGGTGCTGTCCTGAAATGTTACTGGTCATTATAGGTGAAATTAAGGATGTGAATCTATCTTTAGATCCTCTGGATGCAAGGAAAAAAAACCCACTCAAATCATACATACACATACATATACACAATGGAGAAGTGGAAGACTGGTGTTTATTGACAAGGTACAGGGACAGAAAATGCAATTAACATTCACAAAATACAGCAAACAATAATAGAAAGCAAAACCAAGGTTTCACTCTTAGTTTCTCTTAAATAAATTGGTTTCTTGTCTCTACTTCTGTCTGCATGCAATCATTATTCTGCGTTCTCTCTCTCTCTCTCTCTCTCTCTCTCTTGTCTCTCTGTCTCTCTCTCTCTCTCTCTGTCTCTCTCTCTCTCTATTTCTATCTCTGACTCTAGATCTCTCTCTCACTCTCAACCATTTCTTTGTTTCTTGGCACAAAAGCAAACACAATATCTCCATTGCTGACTTTATTTCTCTCTTTAAATGCTCAACAGACACTCAATAGTATCTCAGAAGCACAAATCTAATTTCCAGCAAAGAGAATGTGATTGGCTGAATTTGAGTAGGGTCTACTCTGATCTAGTTGTCTGTGGTCAGGACCACAAATTACATCCATTCAGTTTTTTTTTGGAACTGACTCTGCAAAGTATATGAACTGGTTCTCAAAGAAAGAAAGGAGGAACTGGGGGAAGAAATGATTGACAAAGGAAATTATAAAAAATTTCTAATACAAATCCATAATTTGGAGTAGAAGGGCAATGTTATTTGATTCTCAGATATGAGCTCAGCAAGTGTCTTGATGGAATAATCTCATTTGATTATTCCAGTTTCTTGCATTGTCACTACATAAAAAGAGCTAACCTGAGCCTTCCTGGAAAGTTTTCCTGTGATTAAATATAGTAAAAATATTCCTGTGCAAGAGCTGTAAGCACCCTTGCAATTTGGTGAACATGACAGAAACATACCCAGTCCTAGAACCTCTAATTTTCTTTATTTTAGCATCTAAAAATGGGTCCGAGTAAGAGATCCGAATTTGTGCTTTAAATAGTCCTTTGTAATAAAAGGGGAAGGGGCTGGAAGAAAACCAACAGGAGCTCAGCTCGTCAGCTGACCTTCGGCATTGGCAGAACTAATGAGAGGTCATTGGGGCCAGCCCACTGAACCCCTCAAAGGCTGGCCCAGTCCACGGACAAGAGGAGAGAGTGACTCAGGGAACTCAGGCCTGAAAGGTGTATTACTCTCATCTCCTTTCCTCTAATTTCAGTCTAGGACATGTGGAATCAGATTCCTCTTCAATCCTTTGGGGGATATAATTTTAAAATTATCAAATTATGGAGGCAGCATGGAGTAAAGCAAGATTCAGCATGTTTCCCACTTCAGCACACTTAAGGAACACCATGCATTCCTGTTACAAGCTTTCAGTACTTTATCTACATTCTGAATCTAAGAACAATCAACACTGACTTTTTTTTTCATACTCATTTGGTGACAAAACATAAACTATCACTAACTAGAGCCTATTTGTGGTCTTGATTTCTCCCACTCTATGTGGCCATTCAAATTGTGTAGTTGAGAGGTCTACACCCCTAAAGAAATCACTGACCCAGAGAAAGCAGAGGATCTGTATTCCATCCAAACTCCCCCAGGACCAGCTTTGTGGCTCTGAAAAAGTCCTCCACTTTCTCTAAGTGAACCTCATGTTTTTTCAAATATAAATTTGATATCAGAATGGGGCCTGTTTTCTTAGAGTAGTCGCTATGAGACTTCAAGGAACATATGCAGTCTGCCCTCTACCCACAAGTTCCACATCCGCAGATACAACCAACCTCGGATGGAAAACAGAATTTTGAATCCGCGGTTGGGAATCCTTGGATATGGGGGTTCTGCTGTATGCATTGTTCTACACCATTTTATATAAGGAAATTGAGCATCCACTGTTTTAGTATTTGCGAAGAGTCCTAGAACCAATCCCTTGCAGATACTGAGGGGAAACTATATGTATTTCAGGAATATGAAGTGGGTCTATATACATGTCTTATATCCAGTCTGATTTGTTTAAATCTAGACAAACTATCATCACTATTTTTATGATACAAGCTTCCACTTACACTCAAGTATTATCAGATAGCCTTTTACTTAATACTCTAAACAACTTTAAGATTGGTATTATTATCTACATTTCACAAAAGAGAATAAAATTTAGAGAGTTTGAATGACTCTCCAGGGTCACATGGAAATAAGTGGCAGATAAAACCCAAAAATCCATCCCACGCCTGTTTTGTGTCATAGTCTAGCATCTTTCTACGATGACATGAGTGGATATAAAACTACCCAAAAAACAGCTTCTCCATTGTTTAAGGCTTATATTTGATTACAATAAATTATTTTCTGAAATAAGGAGGAGGAAAAGAAGAAGTTGGAAGAGGAAGCAGCAGCAGCAAGCAGCATTTCATATGTTCAGAACCCAAAGATAATCAAGAGGAAAAACAGTAACAATATAAAATGTTTTCCTTGCCTCTCTATGTTATTTAGGTTGAATTTTTCAGGGAATTCTTCCTTTGGGAAAGGCAATGGAATTTTAAAATCTGTGTAACTATGGTTTTTCTTGAAGGAAATGCAAATGGCAGAAAGGGAAGAAGGGAAGGGTGGGTGGCAGAGGTCTTGGGAAAGTGACTGTGGCATACACTGCATGGAGTGGTAGAAATGCTGATGTGAGTGTCAGAACCATGAGTTTTCTTCATAACTTTGCTTTTGCCCCTCACCTTGGGTCTTAGATTCTTCCTTACTCAGTAAAAGTAAGGAAGAATTCTGATATTCTGATATTCTGATATTCTTTGGTACAAACCAAAACTTTTTTTAAAGTTTTCTGATATTCTTTGGTACAAACCAAAACTTTTTTTAAAGAAAATTATAACT